CTTACAGTATATCCACTATTTACCCACTTATCCATTTGGGTAGTTTAAGTGACGAAAAATGATATGTATGAACTGCAAAAATAACTTTGTAATCCCATATATCGCATATCTATTTGTATAGGATTACAAAGTTACTTATGCAGTTTGTATATCTCGAAAACAGGATTAAAATTGCGTGATGTTTGAGTTTTTCCTTCTGTTATAGGCTAAACACTAATTGTGTTCAAAATTTGAAGCTCCTATGTCTGCTAGAAGTACCTTAGAATTTTGATGATCGGTGAGTGAGTGAGTGAGTGACGATATTGACGAATTTTGATCTGCAACAGTTCATAAACTACAGGTTCAAATTGAATGTAATTTGGAAATATACCTAGTTATATGATGTTCTCTTAGTCACTCAAAATTCAGGCTTCTAGCTTTATCCATAACGAAGTTATGGGGGGTTGGAAAATGCTCTGAATCCCTTCGAGAAAAGGATGGTACTGCCGTGCCCTTTTTTTGCTCGACTTGGCGGGGGCACTGCCGTGCCCCCCGATCAAAGTCAATTGTAAGTCAAGTTATATATGTCAAAATTAAAGTCTACTTACTTTTTTGACAGTTTCAAAATTAAGGAAGTTGGTAGTGATTTCATAAAACTTTGTCGTTGCAATGTTAAACTGGGAGGCTGGATTTTTCATTAAATATACTTTGAAGAAAGCAGAAATTATTTTTATAATATAAAGTTCATCTAGGGGATGAACCCATAATGTTAATTTTTAAAAACTTTCATAATCGGTAAAGTTCAAATCGCAATTAAAAAATATAGACCATTAAATGTTACATCAAAAAGATTTACAAATAAACATAAAATAAACAAAAGACAAAATGACCGAAGTTAAAGCTAACGAACCAGATTCCTATAAATTAAAATCATCGTAATTATGTAAGTAACGTACTTACGTAAGTAAATAGTTCTTAGAAATTTACCTGGAAGTGTTAATACAAATATATAAAAACTAGGGCCCACCCTCGCTTCTCGTTCGGCTTCGCCTCTAGGAAAACAAAAACAAACCTATTCCACGGGAACCGTACAATTTTCCGGAATAAAAGCCTATGTGCTATTTCCAGACTATAATCTATCTCCGTGCCTTTAATCCAGATCCGTTCAGCCGTTCTGGCATGAAAGAGTAACAAACATCCATACTTACAAACTTTCACATTTATAATATTAATACAGATGTAATCTTTACCCATTTCACACAACAAATGAGACTAGCAAATGGTCTAAAATCGTTTGTAACTCATAGAACAGATTTGAACGCGGATTGTGCATTGTTTATGGTAGCGTAATTTTGTACAATGTACATGTTTATACGCGAACTTTAATTAAGGTTTGGGTACATCATAAAATAGGAGCACCCTGGCTTAGGTGACCTTCAACTCAGTCGATTCGGGCTAATTTACAGAGAGATAACTCGCTCGAGTACTACGCTTATTAAAAACTAAAAAGAGAATAAAAACTTTTTAACAAAAAAATAAAAACCGACTTCAAACAAAAGCACTTAAAAGTAAAAAATAACTAATTGGTAATTTTCATTTACTATACATACCTAATCAAATATTTTCGAAGTCGGTGTGCTTTGCTTTGTATGGGCTGGCACCGATTTCGAAAATATTTGATTAGGTATGTATTTAATAGGTAGACTTTAATTACTTAACCAAAGCACACCGACTTCGATAATATTTGATTAGGTATGTATAGTAAATGAAAACTACCAATTAGTTATTTTTTACTTTTTAGTGCTTTTGTTTGAAGTCAGTTTTTATTTTTTTGGTAAAAAATTTTATTTTTCCCTTTTTAGTGTAGATAGTAGTAGGCAGTAGCCAAGTAAGAATTCTAACGTGTTAGGCTTGTCAAATCAAAAAATAAAAACCGACTTCAAAAAAAAGCACTAAAAAGTAAAAAATAACTGATTGGTAGTTTTCATTTACTATACATACCTAATCAAATATTTTCGAAGTCGGTGTGCTTTGCTTTATATGGCCTGGCACCGATTTCGAAAATATTTGATTAGGTATGTATTTAATAGGTAGACTTTAATTACTTAGCCAAAGCACACCGACTTCGAAAATATTTGATTAGGTATGTATAGTAAATGAAAGCTACCAATCAGTTATTTTTTACTTTTTAGTGCTTTTGTTTGAAGTCGGTTTTTATTTTTTTGTTAAAAAGTTTTTATTTTTCCCTTTTTAGTGTAGACAGTAGTAGCAAAGTAAGATTTTCTAACGTATTAGGCTTGTCAATTCAAACAAAACAAGCCCAAACTCAAAGTATCTACTATTAGCCGTTGAAGAGTTCCACCTATCCACCTTTTGGCCTTACCATCAGATCAGGTCAACAATACCGAACCACTGTACTATCAACGGAAATAGAAACACTTGCAAAGTTTCAAGTCAATATGACAATTTGAAGTAGGTTAAATTCATCATTAGCTATTTTTCCACCCTTAGGGGTGGTATTTTTTTTTGAAATTTAAATGGGATCAATCTGGAAGTATATACTTTCAAACAACACAAAAATTGTCCAAATCGGTTAATAAATGACGGAGTTCTGAGGTAACAAACATAAAAAAAAGAACAGTCGAATTGAGAACCTCCTCCTTTTTGAAGTCGGTTGAAAACACTACGTAACAATCTTTCTTTTGGTATTTCTACAACTCATTTTTAGATAAACAGATTTATGTTTATAATATAATATTTTTCTTTATGTTCTGTAAATACATATATTGTAGTAGTATTCAAAGTGAATGCAATTCATGACAAAGGAAGTCCTCAAAAGATTAAATCATGGAGAGATATCAAAGCCACAACGCTTTATACCTTTCGACAAAGAGCGCGTACAACGGCCTCTTAATGTGAAGTACGTAAGTAATATACAATAACGAACGACAAATTGCTATGAAAAGAGGGCATCTAACATTTTATATCACACGGGTTTTCACCCGCGGATCTGCTCGCGGACGTCGAGGTACTAATATCCTTAAGGATAGTGTAGCTTTCTATTCACTTCGTTGGCCTAGTAGCTAGCGTGTACTGTAGCAAATCTTAGAGTCTTGGGTTCGAGTTCCAGGTATGGGCAAAATTTTCAGTATAGCGCGAAGTTCGAAAATTTGCGATGTCACACCCTTGTCCTTCCGAGATAAAGTGATGGCTTCACTTTCCATCGTGCCCCAGATCCCTGACACGGCACACCTGTGATGTGAATTGTCCTACCATCCCTAACCCGGACTTTTAAGAGTAAAAAGAATAAAGATTGTACATATGTTTGTGAAAACACACGGTACAACTCTTCTACGCAGTTGACTAGTCTTAGCGAGATTGTGCCGAAATCAGTCAACAGGACATTATTATTAATTAAGTAATTATTATTATATTATCATACAAACAAATAAACACATCTAACTCTTTGTATACAAGTTTAATTTATTTGATAACAAATTTAATTCAAGTATTATTTGCACACCAACATAATTGTAATTTCCCAAAACTGATTAGTAATAAAAATATTCAAGCAATCATTTAGAAAAAAAACCCCCAAAATTTGTAACTGTTGATAATTTATTAGTAGCGTTTGTAAAACATATTTATGTACATATGTAATGTATGTAAATATGAGTGCATATTTAAATTATTTAATAGTGACAAGTAGTTCATATTAATTTAATAAATTAGGTCCGGTCTATGATAAAATACAATAGAATTATGTTAAATATTATCTTAACTATTATTGATGTTAGTAAATAAAGTTATATCTTTAAATATTATCAGAATATAATTAAGTGCTGAACAATACACAATATGTGTGTTTATTTTGTTGAATTGAAACTTTTTGCAAGTATAAGATGATTTCTTACTACGAAGTTTAATTTTGGTAACAATCAACAAAATCGAGATCGTTGTACACGTGATTCTAAAATAAACGAGGTTATGACGGACGGTCGTACGGTGAACCGTAAACAATTCTCCGATCTCGTCCTTCCTTAACCGTTTTCTTACCATATTCGTTTTACACGTGACGTTTAACACAAACAGAAGTTGGAACTCGGATGAATACTAACGCGTTCTGCGCATGCGCTTACGAACAACCTTGGTAGCGACCGCTGACATTAGTTACTAGACATTTAGATTGATGTACATAGTGGAATATTCAAAACATTATAAGAATGTACCTTCTTGAGTATATGTACCATACGTAGTATCGATGATGAATATTAAACATCTTTTTTGATACGGTTTCATGTTATCTTGAAAAACGAATCGATTCGTGAAAGCAGTAGGTAAACTTACATAACACATTTTTCTAAGCAATGATATAAGCTGCACTAGTGGTGATTGGACTATTCAATTGCATATTTGATAGGTAATAGGTATTACGTTAACAGTCACAGCATATAAACACAAGGCTAACTTTTTGAACAGTTAAAATTCTAGTTTAAAATAATTATTTATATTTATACTAGCATTGCCCGCGGCTCCCCCCGCGTTCAGATGACCAAAATCCAAGTTCTTAGGTTTTACATATTAGTATACTCTTACATTGCAGTTTTTGTATTTTTTCTCAGAAATGAGACATTTTCTCGCGGTAAAAAGTATCTTATATGTTGACCCGGATAACCAGCTATTACCATACCAAATTTCATCAAAATCCCTCCAGTGGTATTTCTGTGATGCGGTAACAGACAGACAGACAAAAATTCTAAAAACTATGATTCGGCCTCTTTATCGACAATAATGTTTATTCAATAAGATTTTCGAAAAAATATTTAAAATACAGATTTGGCTTAGTTATAATTTTTATATGTATTGATTTTACATCCTAAATTGTATTAAATTTACAAATTAACATATTTGTTAAAACAAAATGTTAACTTAGTGTTTATTATATGTACATATTAGTCGTACTCGCGGCTTCACCCCCGTTCAAACTTCCGATTGTACAACTAAATGCGCTTAGTGCTTACCCAAGAATAACGAGTTCGCCATATTTAACAAGAGGCTTTGGCTTTTGTTCAGAGCCACTCTCACCGGCCTCTTCTAGTATTGGTGAATCCGCACTGTCCGCAGCACTGAAATATAAAAAAGACATTTTGATTTATAAATAAAATCATATTTATGTTTACTTATCTGGGACTAGAATAATCTTTCTATTAAATTCAAAAAATGACCTTCGTAATGAAGCTAGCTTTCTATTAGATTCTTTACGTGTTGTACAAAGTGTTTCTCGTTATAATAAGACAAAATGTCATTTGTCCCTCCCCTGCGGAGCTTGAGGTTTGTTTATTATTGTTTACTAGCGACTTACGACGTCCCTAGCTAGGTACGTTATAATTTTTTTGAGCGTAACCTTAATTCTTTTTCTACAATAAAAGTTACTCCTTATAACATTAGCTGCTAGTGAAAGTTCTGTCAAAATCAGTCCAACCGCTTTGGGAGATTAGCCGGAACAAACAGACAGACAGACAGACCAAAAGGTTAAAAATTATGTTTTTGGTATAAGTACCGTTTATATTTTCATACGCATTTAAAAAAAAGCTTTTATTTTGACATTACAAACAGACACTTCAATTTATTTATCTGTATATAGATTATTGTTCCGCACCTAAAAGTCTAGCGTGATATACTGTGTGTGACCTAGATAACATATAGATTACTTGTTAGGTACTTAGGAATGTACCAGAGCGAAGCGACCCTTCGCTTCGTCTTTGGTAGGGGATATTAAATGCAAAGACAATTTTTCAAATCTGATTGGTAGGACCGAAGATTAGCAAGTTCGAACAAATAAACAAAGAAACTCTTCAGCTTTATATGTACGTTATATTATTAGTGCAGATTTTATTTTAAAGTAACATAAGTAAACTTTCTTCCTATATTTTATATTCTAACATTTATTAATGGTTATTAAAGAACTTTAAAAGTAATAAAAAAAATTATTCTGTTTCAAGATGATCTTATTTTAAATCCAAAAAAATACTTTTATTATTCAAGCATTCTAACATAATTCAAACTAAACGATATAAATAAGCAAAAGAATATAAACAATAGTAAAATAGTCTTTGTTTTGATATTCAACGTAATATATTCAGGTCAAAACAAAACAAATTGAACAAAGGCAGCATTAAACTATAAAGAACGATGATAATCCAATATAATAAACATGGTAAAATGGCCTCGTATTAGCGTCACAGTAATTGTTACCTCCCACTATTTCTATGCTACATACTTTCCTGACTTCCGTTACAACGAAATCTTGATCACAGGTCAAGTCTAAGATCTTTATGGAACTGGTTTTAGACAACTGTGGGTCAAGAATCAAGATTAGAGACGTAAATTATGATCACCGCTGGAAACCGGTCTTGACCGATGCACCGTAACTTACGTAAGACAACTCCTTATAAAATATTTACTATGCACGAGAAAAGACGTTCCTAATTTGTTTTGAATACATATATAATAAAAAAAGTTGACCTCTAAATCTGTGGCATTTCAGACCTGCCAAACTACTAAATATTCGATAGTCGCGATCATAAAAGATGAATATTTATATGGGGCCCATAGATATTTAGCCAAGAAGGACATTAAAAAGTTTATACATTATAGGGATATGTTTATATACTTTATCAATAATTAATTAAACCATAGTAAAATTAGGACGACACGTTTGGCTCAGTTTGTAGTGCTGTGTCAGCGGTCGCGGGTTCGAGTCCCGCTGGGGGCATTCATTTGTGTGATAAGCACGAATGTGTGTACTCTAGTCACGGGTGTTTATATTTATATTATGTATATATTTAAAGTAATATATGTGTAGAGTATCAACTATCTGGTATCCATAACACAAGCCTTGTTAACTTACCATGGAACTAGATGGTGCTGTGTGTTAATGTCCCAATATATTTATTTATTATTTATATATTTACTCTGCTTTTCGCTTTTTGCATATTATTACATTTTTTAATACTTCAGAATCTAATAAATAACTAATTTAATATAACATCCGCAAGGCTTACAACAAAGAATATCATGTACATTTTGCATATACTCATAAGTGTCATTCGCAGTGGCTATTTTATTTTATACTCGAAGCCATTAGTGACTCGGTCGTACAATGAGTGGTTTATCGATCGCACAGATGATAAGCTATCGGTCTATCTATGACTTTACTCAGTCCACAACATAGAAGTAGGTTAAACAACTCTAAATACATACGTTTACTTATCGCGTGTACAAATAATGACACAAAAAACTTAACACCATAATGTTTGAGCTCGTTTTATGAATTTAAAAGAACAAAAGATTGCTAATGCTTTGAGATTTTATTAAAAATGCTTGCTCTCTGCGTTGGATGAAAAGCTTAATTTAAGCGACCGTGAATGTTGGCAGTGGGTCAAGTCTAGCTCCTCCCTTCGCTGTGAAACAATTGAAACATTGCCTTTGATTAAGTCTATAGCTACGAAGGTATTTGAAATATTTTATAGAAATGTATTTTCATTGCCCTTCAAGCGGATCTAGTTATTATTGCTCTATGGAAAATTTTTCATTTGTATTCGTCATAATTTATCAGTCCTTGTCAGACGTCGAAAGTTAGTTAGATTTATTTGTATATTTCCGTATAGATATCCTGTACATATATAATTTATTGTTTATGTGAAGAGTTATTGCGCAATCTCTGATCGCGGCATTCCGTGACGATAGTAATTTGCTGCATTTACATGTCTAGTCTTAATTGCAGTTTCTTCCTCGAGTCTCGCCTTTGTCTACTGTTACAATTGATTTAGATTGCTCAAGATTATTTAACACGACCACTGCAAATAATACAAGATCTAGATGAGGAACCGGTATTCCGGGTTTTCGTACATAACACTGCGCGCCGCACGGATATATTAATCAAATTGTAGAATGTAAAGCAATAGATAACGCGTAATTGCTTTTGTTCAATGTAAACTTCATATATTGTACGTAATAATGACTTTAGCGGGTCATTGCTATTAATAAATATACAAGCTATCGATGAATGAACCCGGCCAGCTATCGGATAGCGAGAAGTGCTATGACTATTGCAAGAAAATATATTGATTGCTAGAGATTTACCACGACTTTGTATGTAGAGTGTGTAATTTATATACAGATTCATGACACATATAGATAGACTAATTATAAATTAATAACGCTTTTTATAAATTACTAGCAGAACCCGCGGCTTCGCTCGCGATAAAACTACAAAAAAGTCTGTAAAAAGGTAGTTTCATACAAACTTTCATCCCCTATTTTACCCCCTTATAGGATGAATTTCGAAAAATGCTAACTCGTATTTATTTAATTTTATTGAAGAATACTAATACCAAGTTTCAAGTAATTCTGATCATAATTTTTTTTGGATTGTATTTTAACGTGTTTTCCTGTGGGGATTATATAATTTCCCTCGGAAAAAAGTAGCCTATGTCACTCTCCAGCCCTCCAACAATCTCCACATAAAATATCACGCCAATCCGTTTCGATGTGAACGAAGGACAAAAAAACAAACAAACACACTTTTACATTTATAATATTAGTATGGATATCAAGGTCTTAACATTTCTAAAATATTTCATTGAAATATCCAAGAGAGACTCCGAGGAAAAAAAGCGAAATATAAAAGTGTGAAATATTTGTATTTTAGAACAATTATTCCAACAAGGTCTCATTTACAAAGGATACTGCTCCTTATAGTAAACGCGTAAAATAACTATGCTATGCTAATGTTTCTTAGAATTACTGTGAATCAGCGCATGAGGGCGATGTTTCGTAGTACTCAATAGTTGACATCGGTAGGTAACGTAAGCGTAAGGCGATAAACGACTACTTCGTATCCGGTTTATTGCGAAGCCTACTGCTATTCGCAAGAACACCGGAAATATAAGTAGCGTCAGACCCACTCAAAAAAATCTACACTCAACGAATATCGGACTAAGCTATAAAAATAAATGAACTAATTATATGTTAATATATTTTTTACTGATTATTATTACTATATTATTATTGATTTAAATGTGTTTTTTTCTACTAAGTCGCTTCATTACTTGTTTATCTACATAAGTATAAATATATACACAGTGATAACCGATATTACTATGTGGGAATATAATGGGACGTGTGGAGCAACTCTCTACAATGCCAATTATCCCAGGTCCCATATAAGATAAACTAGCGACTCACCATCGCTTCGCTCGAGTTCGTCCAATGAAATTACAAATCTTTGAATTTCTCGGCTTTTATGTACTATAGTATAGATATAAACCTTCCTCCTGAATCTCTATCTACTGCTTAAAAATTGCATTTAAACCCGTTGAGTAGTTTAAAAGAACTAAGCGAACAGACAGTGGAAGCGACTTCATTTTATACTATGTATCTATACTAATATTGTAAAGAGGTAAAGTTTGTGATCTTGTGAGTTTGTGAGTTTGTGGGTTTGTGAGTTTGTGAGTTTGTGACGTTGTAGGGGGTAATCTTTGGATCTACTGAACCGATTTTCAAAATTCTTTTACCAATAGAAAGCCACGTTCTTTCTGAGTGTCATAGGCTATATATTAACTCGAAGAATGAAAAGGCTTTTTCGTCGGTATTGCAAAGTAAGTCGGAGAAAAAACGGTCGAACGAAAACGTTTCTTACGAGCGCTGCCTTAAGGATGAGAGATATATGATTATATTCTAGAGAAAAAATGTAGAGCTTAATAATGCCTACAAAAAAGTTAGCGACAGCATATGTCTAACTTTTATATTTTAGTCACAAAAAGTAGTTTTTTATATTAAAAAAATAATTTAGATCGGTAGGTCATGTTTATTGGTTATATTATCAACAATTATGAATTCTTATCAAAATAAGTAAATTTATCGTCTAAAATGTTTAAAACAAAAGACTTTTCCCTTTTACTGCATATAATTTGGACAAATGGTTAAAGAGATAATACAACATATTCGTAGGTATGGACGAACCCGAGCGAGCTGTTTGTCTGTTTTCCTGTTTGTACGGGCTAATCTCCGAATCTATTGGACCGATTAAAATGAAATTTTGTGTGGTGGTACCTTATATCCC